CAGCGTAAACAGTGCTCCGCCGATAAATTCTTGTGCCATACTTGATTTTAACATGAACTTTAACGAACCTTCTTCAATATGGTGCCGAATTGGGTTCCCTTCGCTTGCTCAAATAATATGGGTAGAATAATTTTCAGATGTATTTACTTCTCCGAAAGGAAGTATTTATATTACAAAGTTACAAACCCTAGTAGGGTTATACTAGAAACAAGATAAGTCCTAATTACATAATATCTATACAAAAAGAAATAAATAAAAACCTAATAGAATAAGAAAGAAATATCCTAATTGAATAAGGATATATCTCGCCAATACTCCCCCTCAAGTTGGAGCAAAGATGTCACGTATGCCCAACTTGTCAAGCGAGTTGAGGAATATACTTGTAGAAACAGCTTTCGTAAGGACATCGCGCTAATTGATACTCAGAACATGAACGGGAAGGAAACAATCTCCGCATCCAACTTCTTTTTAATGAAATTTCGATCAACCTCCACATGCTTTGTACGATTATGTTGTACCATATTATAAGCAATTGCAATTGCAGCCTTGTTGTCACAATATAAATCCATGGGTTTTTTAGGCCCAAAGCCAAGATCTCTCGATAATCTCCTCAACCACAGTAACTCACATACACTATGGGCCATCCCACGATACTCGGCATCAGCACTAGAACGAGACACCACCTTTTGTTTCATGCTTGAGTGTGATTGATCATATTTTTAGTTTCTTTATTGCTATTAGTTATTAGTTACGATTTTTTATTGATGTGGTGATTGTTGAGATTTTTATTGTTATTAGTAACATTTATTATAAAATTTAAAACTCTAGAAACCTTAAAAAGACCAAAAAGAAAGAGAAGACATTGCTCAGCCTCCAATTCATCAATAAACAAAACAATCATGGAAATCTGGGCCAAGATAGGACCTTATCAGTTTGCTTAATTTGGTTCTATCTGCAGGAGCCAGGAATGCTTGTTTAGGATAGAACTAACCCTTAAAATCATACGCAATCAATTAACCAAAACAGTAACAGAGAAATATAAAAGTATGAAAACTTCATCTCGCATATAATACATCCACTACCAAACACTACGACCAAACAAAAATGTCATACCTTGTAAGAATAACGTTTTATCCTCGACCGAGGCACAGGGACTATGGTACCCGCATAATTGCCACTATCCTCAATCTTCAACACTTCTCCGCTTCCATCAGATAGATCTTCTTCAGAATCAGTGCCCAAATAACTGTCATTATCCACATTCTTCATCTGTGGTTTGCTTTCATCAAATATATCTTCGTCATAATCAGAACCCAAATAACAGTCATTATTCACATTCTTCATCCATGGTTCGCTTTCATCATATAGATATCCTTCAGAATCAGTATCCATATAACTGTTTTTATCTACATTCTTCAACTGTTGTTTGCTTTCATCAGATAGATCTTCTTCAGAATCCGTACCCACAGAAATGTCAGTATCCACAATCTTCAACTGTTGCTTGGTTACATCACATAGATTTTCTACAGAAGCAGTAGCCACATAAACTACCAAATGCCTTCTTTCTTCATGGTTTTGCACAAATGGCAGTATAGGACAGCAGCAAGCAACATTGAGAAGAGAGGCCAACTAAATCGCCACAAGGCTGTTCACGTATGGAAGAAACCTTCCATATCCAGCATTGGTCCTGCCAGTTGTTAGTGTTTCAATCTCCCCTGCTTTCACATGATAAGCAATCAGGTACCCTCCAAGAAGAATTACCACCACATCATCATTCACACAAGCCAAAGCCCTCAACCCTTTAGTAACATGGTTGAAAACCTCACTGACAAGATGGATCCTGCGCTTCAGGTTCATGCACATATCGCCATAGATTTCCAAGGTGTACTGACCATCATCATCTTCACAAGGCAGAATGTAGCACAGCTCCCCATTCATCTCTGTCATAACACCTTGTGGTCCACTGCCGAGAGGGAGTAGCATCATACCATATTGCTTCTCCTTCAAATCAAAAGCCAGAATGTGCCCAGTTGATGTTTCCCAAAAGACCACACCCTTCAAAAAGAGCCCATTCCCACTCAGCTCCAAAGCATTGAGCTCATCGCATACTGCGTCAGACAGTTCCCAAGAGTTGGACCTTGAAGAAAATATATCAAAATAGACACCCATATGACCAGGTACAGAGAAGGCACAGACAAGTTCAAATTTTGCTTCAAAATCAAGCACAGAAGGCTCAAAGGCTAGTGCCAGGAAAGATTCAGGCCCATGATAGTAGCCTGGCTTGGGAAGCTCTTTCCATTGCTTGTTCAGAGGGTTGCAGATATAGTAGGTATCTTCTCCATCGCAGGTTTGGCAGCATAGCAGACCTTTGCAAGTGGTTCTTACAGTAACTGGTTTAGGCAAGAACGTGAGGGAAGAACTGGGAACGCCATAAGCATCACGATCAAGCGAGATGAAGAAAGGATAATCACCAGAGAGTTGACAAAATAGACCAGAGATGTCCCTGAAGTAGTAAGTTTGCTTGTGACTGAAGAAAGCACTACCAATCCACTGATCCCATTGTTTGCTAACAGTTCTCAACCTGCAAAGTATTTTGGCAGGGAGGAAAGGAAGAACATACTCCATTGCAGCATCATTGATGTTCATTTTCTTAATATGCTTTCTGTCTTCAGGACAATCATCTATATGACCAATTCTTTTATATGAATATGTGTGAAACTGCACGTTAAAAAGTTCATCAAGATGCAAATCAAGGGAAAAGAAACAAAGACACAAAAAAACTTGAACATTTAATCACATGAACAATGACAGCCTCCAATTCATCAATAAACAAAACAATCATGGAAATCTGGGCCAAGATAGGACCTTATCAGTTTGCTTAATTTGGTTCTATCTGCAGGAGCCAGGAATGCTTGTTTAGGATAGAACTAACCCTTAAAATCATACGCAATCAATTAACCAAAACAGTAACAGAGAAATATAAAAGTATGAAAACTTCATCTCACATATAATACAGCCACTACCAAACACTATGACCAAACAAAAATGTCATACCTTGGAAGAATAACATTTTATCCTCAACCGAGGCACAGGGACTACGGTACCCACATAATTGCTACTATCCTCAATCTTCAACACTTCTCCGCTTCCATCAGATAGATCTTCTTCAGAATCAGTGCCCAAATAACTGTCATTATCCACATTCTTCATCTGTGGTTCACTTTCATCAAATATATCTTCTTCATAATCAGAACCCAAATAACAGCCATATAGATATCCTTCAGAATCAGTATCCATATAACTGTCTTTATCTACATTCTTCAACTGTTGTTTGCTTTCATCAGATAGATCTTCTTCAGAATCCGTACCCACAGAAATGTCAGTATCCACAATCTTCAACTGTTGCTTGGTTACATCACATAGATTTTCTACAGAAGCAGTAGCCACATAACTTTCACCACCCAAAATTACATAATTTTCAGAATCACTACCCACAGAATTGTTATCGCTCACAACGACATAAGACGAGTCAGAGTCACAGCCCACATCTTTATCATTATCCATGGTATATAATCCTCAGAATTCACCACCACTGCACAATGACATCAAGTTGGTTAGAACACATTTAATAACCATTCGAAGATAATTGAATTTCCCAAACATCAAGACCCATAACAGATCAGGACTTTCAAACAAGAGGAAAGCAACATAAGCTTCTTTTTGCTGCCAAATACAAGGGAACAACTGTTTAAACAGCAGCTAAATTAAAGCCTAGTATTCAATTATGGTTGCTTGGCACAAAAGAAACAAAACAAAATCAGATCATAACAAAAACCCCAAGTTTTGGTTCGATTGCTTCAATAAGGTGTTCTTATATCCCAATTCAAAAAATTCTAAAATTCTGGGGTTGGGAAGAAGAAGAAGAAATATAATAAAACCCCATAAAGAAAAATCCAAAATACATTTCTTGTTTTCTTAGAAACAAATGGTATTTTTTTCGAAATTCAAATTCAAACCCTAATCGCAATGGCATCAAGTCCCAGTATACTTTCAGTTTCTTTGGGTTTCTCAGTAGCCAAACAAATCAAAACATAGATAAAAACATGAAAATTGGATAAAAGACAGAGCGAGAGCAGAGAGCTTTCTCTAAATTACGAAATCCAAAACACACAGATAAACCCTACAATGATCAAACAAAACCCATAAAGCAGAGACAGTAAAACCTTAGAAACGATCGAAAGCAACCCAGAAAAAAACCCACTCATGCATGTAAAATGGCAAGCCATAAAGATTCAAGATTTTTCCACAAAAACCCAAACAAAAAACAGAGGAGCACTCTGCCAATGAGTTGGGCTTTTTCATCTCGGCAAAAGAGAAATCAACGAAGCAATAGCAAGAAGCGTACCTTCGAAGACCTGAGAGTCAAGCAAGCCGGTGATCGAACGCAGCGTTCAACGCAACAGAGTGAGAGAGAGGACTTAGAACTGAAAAGTCTATAGAGTGAGAGAGCAGTTTAAAGTCACGAACGAGGCCGTATGGTTTGTTTGTATCGTGGGGTTTTCTTGACACGTGGAATTCCAATGGATTATGTCGGGTTTCTCTGGACACGTGTACGCCTCAGATCGGTACGTTGGCGGAGAAACAAGGTCTTGACGAGGCCAGAGGTTGCTTAAGTTTTAAGTTTGAAGCTTGTGAAGGAATTCGCACGAGTTGTTATCACATAGATTTTCTACAGAAGCAGTAGCCACATAACTTTCACCACCCAAAATTACATAATTTTCAGAATCACTACCCACAGAATTGTTATCGCTCACAACGACATAAGACGAGTCAGAGTCACAGTTTGAAGCTTGTGAAGGAATTCGCACGAGTTGTTGAACTTGTATATTGGATTTTAGGTTCCAACCAAGTTTTTCTCCATAATCCGAGTGATTAATACGAAGTAAGAAACTTACAGATAATTACTAATCCAAGTTTTTCTCCACAATAATCTCGTAGCCTAATTTGTAGGAATTGCATCCCAATTTGAAGGAAGTAAATAGGAAGTTAAATAAATAGTATTAATTTCTAAATAATTATGGTTCAAATTAGCTTTGAATGCGAACAAAATTACTAGGTTTTAGCTTTCGCTAATGATGAATGACTTTACGCTTCATGCACAATCATGATCTTTAATAAAAATAATAATAATTAAAAACCCAAAATCATGATGCATCAAGGTTTTATCCACTCTCTTTTTGTTTGGTTTGGGTCAAGGTTTTATCCATTCATGTATATATAATTATAAGAGTGCTGCTAAACGAACCCTAAAATTAACTGAGTACACCCTATGAGCTAAGTACACCCTAATGTTTAAATTAAAATGTAAAATTAACTAAGTACACCCTATTTAATTACCAAAAATACCCATGGTACACCCTCTTTAATTTTTAATCTTTTAAAGTATTTAAAATAAAAAATTACAGTAAAATAATAATAAAATAATACTTTGACAAAAAACTCTCTCTCTCTCCTGCTTCTTCTTCTTCTTTTCTCTCTCTCATGTGCGACCACCACCACCTGGAATTGCAGTTCTCCACCACGACCACCATGTGTTTTTTGGAAACATTTGAATTGGGATTGGGATTAGATTGTTGCATTTGAGAATTGGGTTTTAATGAGTTGCCATTGGAGTTGAAGTAGAAATGGTGACTAGGGTTGTTAAGGGGGGTGGCGTAGAGAATAGGATCTCAGGGTAGTTGAGATCTGCTATCCCCACATTCCATGTCTCCTCATGTTCTTTATCTAAAATTTTGACACGTCTCTCCACCTTTAACAATACACAAACACGGTTAACTCGTATGGAAAATAATGTAAAATATCAATAGGCATTTTGAATGCTTCTTCTCCCTCAACCATGACAATCTCAAACTCTCCTAGCCTCCAACCTTTCAGCGGAGAACTCTTTGGGTGTGGGTTTCCAATATTTCAGCATGAATTGGTTTGTGTTATTGATTGTTTAAGTTTTATGCATAAAAAATCAACTTGGATCAATACACTTCTCATGAATTCCATGTTGTTTGTTAAAAATTAAGTCAATTTGTTTGAAGGCATGGATTCAAAACAATAAATACCAATATTATTTTATCTTTTTGGTCATAGAAACAAGGTCTTGACGAGGTCAGAGCTCAGAGGTTGCTTAAGTTTTAAGTTTGAAGTTTGAAGCTTGTGAAGGAATTCGTACGAGTTATTGAACTTGTATACGAAGGATTTTAGATTCCAACCAAGTTTTTCTCCATAATCCGAGTGATTAAAACGAAGTAAAAAACTTACAGATAATTACTAATCCAAGTTTTTCTCCACAATAATCTCGTAGCCTAATTTGTAGGAATTGCATCCCATTTTGAAGGAAGTAAATAGGAAGCTAAATAAATAGTATTAATTTCTAAATAATTATGGTTCAAATTAGCTTTAAATGCGTACAAAATTACCAGGTTTTAGCTTTGCTAATGATTAATGACTTTACGCTTCATGCACAATCATGATCTTTCATAAAAATAATAATAATTAAAAACCCAAAATCATGATGCATCAAGGTTTTATCCACTTTTTTTTTTGTTTGGTTTGGGTCAAGGTTTTATCCATTCATATTTGAATAATTATAAACCCAATACTATCATATGAGGTAAAGCAGCAGGTCTACAAAGGAAGCCAATAAGAAGAAATAAGCAGTTGACTGTTGACTCATGGACAATTGGATGGCCATGAACACAAGCTCTAAGCAAGCATAAATGGAGAAACTTTTCTAACTAGTTCAAAACACAGCCATCTAATAAAAACTACCCGGTGTCATTTTCTTCATGGTTGCACAACGGCAAACTAAGGCATAAGAGAGGCCAGCTAGATCTCCACAAGACTGTTCACATGAGAAACAATCCTCGCATCGTAATCAAATTCATCACCCACACATTGAGTTTCTTTAGTCTTCAGGTTGTACGAATAGATTTTTCCACCACTGCGAAACAAGACCACATTTCCACTGGCAAACATTATGTTACTAGACAAGCGATCAGCAGCCGGAGCAAAGGGTGAAGGTGATAGAGTGATCTGATGTTTCGTTTTCCATGTCCTGGCCTTGCTGTTCATCTCCATTGTGTTTGTGTAGGCGTTAGACAACACATTCACAGTTAATCCTGAAGACTGAGCCTTTGTCAAACAAAGCTTTCCATCCATCAGACCCAGGGCTGCACATCCTCCTGTGCCATAAAAATCACCATAGAGGAGTTGTGTGCGCTCCATCTTCAAGTCAAAAACAAGAATCTGAGAACCCATTGCCTGCCAATAAACTATGTCGTTCACATGAACACCGGATCTTGGCACGAGAGTTTTATTGCCAAAGTAAATCTCACCAGAAACTCTCCAAGACCCCTCCTTGGAGGAATAAATCTCAAATTCATATCCATTGTCAAAATCAACGGATGGAAAAGCACATACTAGCTAAGTAATTCAATAAATAGTTTAATAGTAAGGTGTACTCAGTTAATTTTAGGGTTCGTTTAGCAGAACTCAATTATAAACGCAATAATATCATATGAGGTAAAGCAGCAGGTCTACAAAGGAAGCCAATAAGAAGAAATAAGCAGTTGACTGTTGACTCATGGACAATTGGATGGCCATGAACACAAGCTCTAAGCAAGCATAAATGGAGAAACTTTTCTAACTAGTTCAAAACACAGCCATCTAATAAAAACTACCCGGTGTCATTTTCTTCATGGTTGCACAACGGCAAACTAAGGCATAAGAGAGGCCAGCTAGATCTCCACAAGACTGTTCACATGAGAAACAATCCTCGCATCGTAATTTTTTTTTTTGTTTGGTTTGGGTCAAGGTTTTATCCATTCATATTTGAATAATTATAAACCCAATACTATCATATGAGGTAAAGCAGCAGGTCTACAAAGGAAGCCAATAAGAAGAAATAAGCAGTTGACTGTTGACTCATGGACAATTCGATGGCCATGAACACAAGCTCTAAGCAAGCATAAATGGAGAAACTTTACTAATTAGTTCAAAACACAGCCATCTAATAAAAACTACCCGGTGTTATTTTCTTTATGGGTTGCACAACTGCAAACTAAGGCACAAGAGAGGCCAGCTAGATCTCCACAAGACTGTTCACATGAGAGACAATCCTCGCATCGTAATCAAATTCATCACCCACACATTGAGTTTCTTTAGTCTTCAGGTTGTACGAATAGATTTTTCCACCACTGCGAAACAAGACCACATTTCCACTGGCAAACATTATGTTACTAGACAAGCGATCAGCAGCCGGAGCAAAGGGTGAAGGTGATAGAGTGATCTGATGTTTCGTTTTCCATGTCCTGGCCTTGCTGTTCATCTCCATTGTGTTTGTGTAGGCATTAGACAACACATTCACAATTAATCCTGATGACTGAGCCTTTGTCAAACAAAGCTTTCCATCCATCAGACCCAGGGCCGCACATCCTCCCGTGCCGTAAAAATCGCCATAGAGGAGTTGTGTCCGCTCCATCTTCAGGTCAAAAACAAGAATCTGAGAACCCATTGCCTGCCAATAAACTATGTCGTTCACATGAACACCGGATCTTGGCACGAGAGTTTTATTGCCAAAGTAAATCTCACCAGAAACTCTCCAAGACCCCTCCTTGGAGGAATAAATCTCAAATTCATATCCATTGTCAAAATCAACGGATGGAAAAGCACATACTAGCTTGTACTCGGCCACAAAGTTCAGCAAAGATGGTTCAAAGATGAGAACAATAGCAGGGTCAGATCCATGATCAGCATTTGCCTTAGGAAGTTTTTTCCACTTTTTAGTAACAGGATTGCATATGTAATAAGCCTTGTAGCCATCACGACCCTGGCAGCAAAGTAATCCATTGGAAGAAGTCCTTATGTCAACTGGCTCAGGCAAGAACTTCAGACATGGGTCTGGAACACCATATGCATTGCGGTCAAGAGATATGAATGAAGGTGGGTCTGCTCTGGATTGATAAAAGAAGCCCGAGATATCAGAAAAACAATTCGACTGCTTGTGGGCAAAGAAAGGAGTTAGGATGTCGAGCTTCCAGTCCCTACAAACTCCAGTGAACCTGAAAAGTGATTTAGCAGGTAGATATGGGAGGGCATGATCCCTAACGATGTCCTTGAGGTCCATGTATATCTTACTGTTTTTGTTTACTAGTACCTGATTTGCTCTCCTTCCTCGATCCATTATGCCCTCAATTAAATCTTCCACTCCTTCAAAAGCAATCAAATATTCAAAACTAAAGAAAGAAAGGGAAGCTGAAGTACAATAAAGTAAAAGAGACATTTGACACAAGCCAACACATCTGAGACAGAGACGTCACTACTGGTTTTTCCGAATGTTTCATTGTAGATTTGTTTTGTGACACATTGATCAGATCTTTGAATTTGTCTAGTATTTGAAGACTATTGTATGTCACACGTTTTCCATATTTGACAGAGCACCGCGCTAGATACAAATACAAA